TGAAAGTATTAAGGTCTCTATGTAGTGTTAAAATTGTACCTTTCAGATTACCTCTTGAGAAGTCTGAAGTTTGTTAGAAGTACGTTGAAGTTGACGATTGACGAGAGTAAGAAGTTGACGATTTGACGAGGAAGTATGAAGTGAGTCTTTTGGTAAGGTTTGAAATTTTACAATGTGTAGAAAGACTGTAATAAGCACATTGTGTTTGAAAATTTAGACCTAAACAATGAAAATCTCTATAATTTGTAACAAGTCTGGAACCATTTCATTCCGTGCTCAAGTCTAAAATCTCACGCACTACAGTGTCGATCTCACCTCCTGTCTTAAATTAAAAACGGAAGTATAAAAGAAAATTTAGACGGTATTAAGAGGTTTGCGGATGTAAGGACTCTGTAGTAAAAGTACTGTTTGCATCCAACTTTCTATTTTTTTTCTAAATTTTAATTCGTTTTATAAATTTGTTTTAACGGCAGAATCAAAGTACTCTCACTGTTTTTGAAAGTTGTACAGAGGTAATTTTTGGGTAACACATTTAGTTCGGAGTGGAAAGGGGTTTGTCGTCGGCGTGTGGAATCAATATTAGACGGTTTTCCTGGTTATAATTGGGCTTTCAATGTGTTTTTTAATGTGAAGTGTACGAAGTTCAAGGAACTCTACGAAGTGCGAACCTTTAAAGTCGGTTATAGACAACTGCCAAGAAGTTGTTCTTGTAAGGGTAATCTCCAAATAGAGAGTAAGTCTTGTTACCTTTAAGACTAGTGGTACCTTTGAAACTAGAGACCTGTGCAGTAATCGAGGTTTAATATTTGTGGACACAGTACCTGATAAAAAAGTAATAGCCATCGATTCCCGACCGAGCTGAACGTTTTGATGTCTGAACGGAGTTTCTGCGACGTTCAATGTGGGAGAAGAAGCAGTGCGAAATAACCCGGCGGAATAATAAAGAATTTCGTGCGTAGCATAACAGAGAGTTGGAATGCTCACTGTATCAGCATTCCCACTAAACAAGTTTTCTATTACATTTCATTTGGAAACTCACCAACTAACATCAGAAAACAGAACACTTATGAGCATAAGGCTTATTTTTCTGATAAAATATAGTTCAAAATAAGATTTCGCAGCTAATTACAAGTTCTGATTTATCTAAATATCCCATCTTAGTTCACAAAATGTTACCAAGCACATTTTCACTAGATCTATTGGCAGACTTACTTTACTTATTACCAGCCAAAACATGTTTTAATTATTTGTTTACTTGTTTTTGGAGCAGCATATTGTCCAATGTGGTAGGAGCTCATACACTAATACCTAGTTCCTTTGAACATAGCATTATTTTATATTCAATCTATGAGTGGTACAGATACTAAGCTTAGGGAAGACTTTTGTAAACTGGCATACATTCTGCATGCATGGCATTAGAGCACTTGTTTATTATGGAAGAGCATTATGGCCACATGTAAACATTTTGACATCTGACCATTAGTTTAAAAAGCCCAAATTGTGAGGTTAAAGGTCGACACAGGGTCCACAAGTGGGGAGACAGAGGGTGTTTCTCAATGTCAAGGAAGGATGCTCCAGAGCCACTATTTCAAGGATGCTACGTCATCGAATCCCGCCGAAGGACTGTTCCAATGTCCAGGATGCTTGGAATTATACCGAGGACTGAATTCTTCGTTGCAGGATATTTCGAGGATGCACCAGTGTATCCTTCGCGGTCTTAAAATCCCCACAATGCTTTGCGCACGGACCAATTTCCAAAATCTTTGGCGGAAGATTTAAGGCGGGGCCTCTCATATGACCTGCACACTTGCTAGCCTTTGCTATTCTTCGTTCTCCGAATGAAAGGAAGGATTCTCGCATAGCCTCTGAAATACCTGACTCGGAGGGACATGTCCTACCAAGGAAGCGTCCTCGACATTGAGAAACACCAAGAGAAAGAAAGACAAAGTTCTGGCAATGATATATTTGTTTTAATGCTGATAAGAGCTCATACACGTGCCATAACATCAACAGTGTAAATACAAAATGTATATCTGCTTAATATTCATAGTTTTTTTTTTTTTAGTTTACATAGGGAAACATTCATTTATGTACAAATGTTTAATCTTTAACTACATCACAAGCTTCAGGAGTGCTGGAGTGTCCAACATTCTACCTCCCTGCTATACCAGGAGCGTTATATTGATATGTTAATATAATAAACATAAATAAGAAGTCAATCCTTTTGACAGACATATTCAAATACAAGTAAAAAATACTCAAATGAGCTTCGTCTACATAAAATGGCATTAGGTTTGATCTATTAATTATGCATCCTCTCTATACTTAACTAAAGGAAATACAAATTATACCACACTTCATCACTTGAGTTCCTTCACAGACGCCACTCAATCAGGAAGTCGTTAAATAAGGACAGGAATATATATCCGTACCTAGAATTATCCAAATGGCACAAAACTCTTCCCAGATCAAAACAGAGGATTGGACTTCACACCAACGTCCTGCATTTCTGTTTTTAAAAACAATAATGTGGGGGTAAACTGGCTCAGGATTGTCTCCACATTCAAGCAGCTGACAGACATACCGTGTTACATTGAAGTAGTGATAGAGTGGTGCAGGAATGAGTCCGAAAACCCAGGAATTACTTAGCATTTTACCACTTCGCTTGTTTTGAAGTTTTGTACGGTGGCCCACAGGTGCCAAACACGTCCAAACTGCAGTTTCAGACCACAAGTTTTAGATACTTTCACGTTTTGTTCTCCTACGTCAGTAAATACCCCAAATTTAAGAATGGCGGTTGCTAACAAACATTAGCCACCTTTAGCTTAGCGGTGTGCAGCCGTGCGACCGTGATGTAGTTTGTTTATAGCCTAGCGTTAGCTTAATACTTCTGGCGATAGCTATTAACACTCTAAAATATCACAACGTGTTAATATGTGGAGATTATCCTGCTGAACAAAACGTGAAAGTATCGTAAACGTGTGGCTAATTCCTGCGATATACCGAAATCCAATGGTAAAATCCCGTTGTGATGCTAGCTTCAGAAATCTGTCATCACTGCACCGCTCTGAGGGCTGAGATGTTCATTAAAAAGATGGCATGGGTGCTTTTCTTTAAAGATCATGGCCTATTCTGGTGACAGGGATTATATACAGTAAGCCATGGGTCACACACACACACACACACGTACACACACACGCACACACACATACTCACACACACATCTTCCCCTGAGACTGCTGTTGTGCTCGACTATCATATTAGAAATTAAGGCTGATCACTGGAACAGAAAAGACATGCTGCAGAATAAATAAAAACAAACACAGTATGAGGGCCTTGTCGTCAGTGCATTATCATAATAACTGCAATGTCTTTAAACAGTCATTGTTTTCCCGAAAGAATAAATTAAAACACAAATACAAAATATTACAAATCGGATATCTTTTGTATGATAATTGCTTGGTTTGGAGGCGAACACAGTGAGGAGGAAACTGCCCTTCAGTCTCAAAACTGTACCAGTGTTGAAGCAGTAGTCAGAATAATTTAAATGCAATATGAGAGAAGGATTCAACCTGTTTATAAAACAATATAAGTGTCATCATGCGTGTGTTATATTGTGTGTTGTTGCTCAGTGTGAATGACGGGCGGTGTTTCCAGTTAGTTGATTCTGCTACCTTAATCTTCTGACCTAGAGAAGAGGAAGCTCTTTCCAAATGAATCACACACACACTCTTATTATCACTCACACACACACTCACACACACACAGATTATGTTCGTGGCACTCTCTGCAGAAGCTTAAAATCAGCTCCTGACTCAAAAACAGCTCCGGCTCACCTTGAGGAGCGCAGGGTGACCTGTTGACCTTTTGACCTCTGGAAAAACCTGTTTCAAGACAGAGAGCCGATTGTTTCGCTCACTAACACTGAAGGTTCCTTTAAGGAGGGGGGTGTGCTACGAAGCCAGAGCAGTGGGTTAGGAGGGAAGTTGAGTTTTTTACCTATAGATGTGGAAAACTCAATTTACCTAGTACCGAAAATAGTTGGAATTTTGAGAAAAAAGTTGGAATTCTGAAATAAAAAGTTGGAATTCTGAGATTCTGAGATTCTGCCCTAATTCTCTTCCGTAGTTCATAACTCGTCCCGATTGGCTGAAGTCTGTTTCACCATGATTTTGTAATGTAATCGTATTTATTCAGAATTTAAAGGAATTTTAAACAAACAATAAATAGGTCAATAGGTGTTTCTCCGTTTGATTTGATCACTCGTTGTGTTTGTGTGTGTGATGGCATGTTTACACACACACACACACACACACACACACACACACACACACACACACACACACACACACACACACACACACACACACACACAGCCCACCTGAAACATAACAACATGAAGCTGTGCTACACCTGGCTTTCTCTGTGGTGTTAGGCCACTTCAAAAAAGGGATTTATAAGTTTTTGACAGCGAGGGAAAGAGGAGGAGGGAGAGGAAGAGGAGGGACTGCTACATCAAAGCTGGGAGGAGGAAATGAGAGGAGGGGAGGGGAGATAGATAAATAAATAAATAAATTAAATACTGTAAATATACATTTCTTCATCCAGACTGAGCCCACAGTGATTTTGGGAAGTCCGCACAAAACGTGGTTATGTTAGCACCCGAGCCTTACCGTTGGGTGCTATAGGGACAGTGTGTAGGGCATGTGTGTGAGGACATGCATCTGAGTGTCTCATAGTCTGGTCTGAGCCTCTGGGATATAGATCTCGATGCTGTCGGCGCTCTCCGTGGCCGAGCTCTGACGAACGGACGCCGCTCGCTTGGCAGCTAGCAGGCGCTTTCTGGCCTCCACACGCTGGCGCTCAGAGCTCTCCAGAGAGCGGTCTCTAGCCAGGGGGGGGTGGCCCTTCTGGGGCTTCTTTGGCACGGGAGGGGGGATCCTTCTCTCCTGGACATGGGAGGACAAACTCTTAATGACCACAGGGGGTGGAAGTACTCAGATCTTGTGCTTGAGTAAGAGGAGAAGTGTGGAGGAATACTATGTTACAAGTAAAAGTCCTGCATTCAAAATGATAGTGAGTAAAAGTAGAAGTACCCAGAACTTGTACTTGAGTAAAAGTAGAAGTACCCAGAACTTATACTTGAGTAAAAGTAGAAGTACTCAGTTATTGTACTTGAGTAAAAGTAGAAGTACTCAGAGTGTAGGAATACTCTGTCACAGTAAAAGTCCTGCATTCAAAATGTTCCTCAAGTAAAAGTAGAAAAGTATTCTCATCAAAATATAGTGAAAGTAGAGACAGTAAAAGTAGTCATTGTGCAGATTGGTCCATTTCAGAATAATATATATGATATGTTTTATAATGATTGATCATGAAAGTGTTCTCAAAGCTGGTAAAGGTGCAGCTAGTTTGAATGACTTTGTATTCTGCAGGGTAGCTTGTAGATTTACTCCAGGTGGAACTAAAGTCTGATTTAACACTTGATTAGATTTCACATCTTTAATCCAAATCTAGTAACTAAAGGTATTAAATACATGTAGTGGAGTAAAAGTACACCATTTACCTCTGAACTGTAGAGGAGTAGAAGTAAAAAGTAGGAAAACATTTAAACTCAAGTGCAGTACCTCTTGAGTAAATGTACTTAGTTACTTTACACCTCTGGTAAACACAGTGCTTTGGGGTTAGAGAGAGAGAGAGAGAGAGCGAGAGAGAGAGAGAGAGAGAGAGAGAGAGAGAGAGAGAGAGAGAGAGAGCGGTGCAGCAGCCGGCAGCAGCATGCATGCATTTGAATGAGGTGAACGTTCACAGTGGCAGCCATTTGTGTGGGTAAGAGAGCACGGCGGTGGCCAAAGCGTGAGGTAAAAGTGACCATTGGAGACGGAGAGGCCCCAACGGTGCATGGCAGGATGAGAGGTTCTCAAAAGCAGCTCACTGTCGACAACAAACACAGACACAGTGGTGACGTCAGGCAGGCAACGGCACAACATCTGCATGCTAGCTGAGAATCTTTAACAGTGTACGTAAGGACAGCAGATTACATGCGGGGTAAGTAAAGCATCCCATAATGACATTAGTGTTGTGTAATAGAAGCTTCGAGTCTTGTCCAAACTGAACGTGTTTACTTTATATCAGGGGTGTCCACACTTTTTTCACCGAGGGCCACATACAGAAAAATGTACGAAGGTCTGGTCCGCTCACTAGAGGTATATCGCCTCGTAAGTTCAGTTATAAGTTAGCAAAATCAATCAAATGTAGGCACATGATGCTTGAGAGTGTTGGCAGCTCATCTCTTAAAACAGAAGATTGATTATCATAAGGAGAAATAGGAAGCGTGTATTTCAAGCTTGTTATGTAAATAAGTCATTGGGCTTTTTTCTTATCAACTAAGATATGATAGAAAATGTTTCCAACTTTAATTGACTGAATTTATTTGTGGTCTTCTTAACACATGAATACTAATGTGTAATATGTGTTTTCATATATATTTAAGAAGTACAATACAAGACAAGTTTCATTTGTGGGCCGTACTCCATTCTACTTTTTTTATTTACTGAGGGCCGATTTAACATGACCCGCTGGCCGCATTTGGCCCCCGGGCCGTAGTTTGGACACCCCTGCTTTATATTAATGTAACAGTTTCCAACAAGAACGGTGGAAAACGGGGAAATTGCACTCGACATACTCGTATTCATTTCAAATCATAACAGGAAGGAGAGAGAGCAGGACACATACTTGCACTTCAAAATAAATTACAAACATTTTACCCGTAGCTTTTATCAAGAAGCAAACAAACAAATGTTTTTACTGTTCCAACGATGAGGTTATGTTTTTGAACGTGCGTGTGTGAGTGGGCACCTGAATGTCTGGAGGGCTCAGAGGTCTCCAGCTGTTGGCTCTGAGTTGGTGCAGCTCGTCAAACTTCAGGCTGATGTTCTCGATGGAGAGCTGCAGCATGTCCCAGAACCCTGCCAGGTCCTGAGAGCCGGGGCGGGGGTGTGCGTCGGGGTTCTGAGGCGTGACAAATACATGTAAACACACAGGTCACATGATCACAAACATACAAACGCACATTGTTTACATGCCAATCACACATGTTTTGAAAAGGGAGTTATGATGATTTGATTTGACCAAAAGTGGCAGAATAGGCCTTTTAGTGAGTGAAATGCATAGAACGGAAAGTCCACACAGTAGCTTTGAAAAAATCTTGAAAATCTTGGAGCTGGGCGTGTCTGAGAGCTTGGGGATTTTTTGCGAGCAACGCGACCAACAACCAATCACATGAATCTCCCGCCCCCGACATACAAAGCAAAAAACCCCGGGGATTTTATGCGAGCAATATTTATATATACCGGTATATATATAAACTCCCCAAACAGGCGAAAACCTACCAGTTTCACCCACTGTCTCTGCCACCTCCCCTCCCATGCCTGGTTCCTCCGGTTCTGTATCCCGGTAAATAGTACTGTCAGAAAGAACCGGGTGATTTGCTACCGTAAATTCTCGTTTGGAAATATGAGGAATGAACTGCGGTCTGGCCTCTCCCGGCTTGTACGCGGTTTCATTGGCTAGCGCCTGACTGTCAGATTTGCCATAAACGGGATTTTGATTGGCTGACGCTTCCAGCTCAGCTTCAAAGTTTAACATTGCTCAAACTTTTGAATCCTGAAAATCCTGGAAATCCTTCGCTTTGGCCTTCCCCCAAAATGCAGTTCGCCGAAAAGCGAGGCAAAGTGACGTCACCATTCAAAGTCAATGGTCAGGAGAAGTGTTGGAAGATTTTTTTTAAAGCTGCCTTGTGTGGGATCGTACGTTAAGGTCATTTTTAATGGGAATGACAGCTTTTAAAAATATAAATAATGCACTATGCTGTAAATAATTGTAATTAGTAAGCAGGGATCTATCCACCTTAGTCAAACCAAAAAATAATACTTAAACACTTTAAATATAAAAGAAAACCTCCTGCACACTTCCGATTATGCATATTTGAATGAATAGGCCCTATGATGCTATGCTCAGGTTCCATATGATTATTTTGTTGTTCTGAGTTCATATTTAATGTTTTTATTGCACTCATTGTAAGTCACTTTGGAAAAAAAGCATCAGCTAAATGAAATATAATTAACGCAAACAATAAAATACAAGTGTATTTTTGGAACAATATTGCCAATCTGCATCTAAACACATCTCATCATCATTGCTAATTTCATGATTTGATTTTTAACCAAAGTTGCCAGAATTGGCTTTAAGTGAGACAAATGCATACAAGGTGCAAGTCCTTAGGAAAAACAATGAGAGCTTTTTATATATATAAATTTAAATTAATAAATAACAATGCACTATACTCTTTAATATGTTATGTGTAATTCCTTGCTTTGTTAAAGCTGCTGCAACAACATGTTGTCTTATTAAATAGGCCCTAATTATGCAACCTTCAGGTTCATATTAGTACTTTGTGCTCTTATGTTGTTTGCTGTTTATTGGCAGTGATTGGAAGTCACTTCCATGCTTAAATTAAATATATCGAATACAATTAATACGCATTATAATATATTAACGGAAACTATCAAATACAAGTGTATTTTTGCAGCATAGTGGAAATTAGCATCTAACACATCCTGCTGATCAGCACGTTCTCTCCTCTGAGAGAGATGAGGTTTTTGCTGTGCATGCTCTACCTGGAATGCATGTAAACGAGCGCAGGCCTGTCGACCATGATTTGTGCAGGATGATTTCAGTGTTCAGGGGTGTGTGTGTGTGTGTGGGGGGAGGGGAAGACGGACCGGGGAAGATGCAGAGGATGAGGTGACACATACCAGATTCTCCCTCACACAGCTCCCGGAACTGTCTGGAACTTCTGGGACATCAAGCAGTGGGCACTCCCCACTGCACTGCGGATCTTCCCCATGACTGGCAGAAAACACACACACACACAACCACACACACACACACCACACACCACGACACACACAACAACACACACACACCACACACACACACACACACACACACACACACACACACACACACACACACACAAACCACACACACACACACAATGCAATTACATCAGAGAGCGCATACTGCAGGCATGTTGCAAGTGCGAACAGAGAAGGTGATGAAGGGAGACGCCACCTACATCTGTGCTCGAGGAAACAGATGAAATTGGTAATAAATATGAATTTAAAATCCCAAATAAATGCATAGCTTAGCAATTTATATAAAATAAACATACACATGCACATATACAGTCCTGCATAACAAGAGCGTACACATCCAAGCTTCTGCTCCTAATAATAATGCCTTTCCCCTCACATGGCCGGATGTCAGACTGACATATGAGAAACAAGGCTGTGCTGCATAAACCCGACTCCACTGTCAGCCCCGTGGAGAGGGCCCTTCGGTGCACGCATTAGTCTACATGAAAAAATAGGATCCGAAAACAGCGAGAGATAATGAATCAGATACAATGTCTTCAGCTCGTGTGTGTGTGTGTGTGTGTGTGTGTGTGTGTGGTGTGGTGTGTGGTGTGTGTGTGTGTGTGTGTGTGTGTGTGTGTGGTGTGTGGGTGTGTGTGTGGTGGTTTGGTGGTGTGTGTGCACCATGAAAGCGTGGGATGTATGGTAGGAAAACTAAAACCTTGAGAACGGCCTCCCTTGTCAGCCTTCGTCCTGAGAGAGAATAATCTTCCTGTAACCAAAACAGTACACTAGCTTGCATACGCAATGACTCTGTGTGGTATCGCAGTGAGGACAGGTAGGAGTACAGTCTGGCCCTGAGCCTGTTTGCCCGTCTTTGAAACATATTTAGAATGTGTGTGAGTTGTGAACAGACGTGTGTGTGTGTGTGTGTCAATGATCAAGTACGAGCACACCGAGAGAAAAACCCCTTCGTGTGTGAGGGTTTCATCTACCCACAGTGTGTCCTTAAAGACAGATGTGGTTATTGATAATATGCAATGCACGGTATGTCTGTGGAGGCCAGAGAGCCTGGAAGAGAGAACAAGCAGCTATTGTGGTCCAATACCAGAACCCTCAAAGACAGAGGAGAGGAGGACAAGCTTGACCTAATAACGGTGTTCAGTTTCATTATTGTTTTTCTGGGAACTCTGGAACAACAATTTAAATAAATAAAGTCATATCTCATCTTATCTTTTACACCTACTTAAAATCGACAATCTGCACTAATGTACATTTCCCAAAGAATATTGAAAGTGACGTTATGAAATTAGTAATATATTGTGTCTGTCGGCATTGTGGGACCCGGCATTTCGATCTCTCTGTCTGCCAGACACTACTAAACTGAAAGATGCATGAAGGTGACATGATCGGAGTTCGAACCTGGAATCGGACTTCAAGTCATCGACAATTCAAACTAAAGTAAAAACAATTAATTTGCAGATCACTCCCAGCTAACAGTATTGGAATATTCCCAGATATTGCTTAATAAAAAACTATATATGTATTCCGTTTTTTCTTGCCCTAATTGTATTTGTTTTTTTTTCAGTTTCATTGGTTTTCTTATTTCTTTGTATACTCCCTTAATTTCTTACGAATGAAATAAAATGCCATTATTATTAAATTGATGCTAATGATTGAATGCACGG